GCTTACATTCAGATGTTTGAGATTTTCCTGCCAAGAGGCTTCCCAGATGGCCAGAGAGAGCCCCTGGAGCCCCCCGTGCGTGTCGGGTGCGGTCCCAGGGGCGTTCAGCTACAGCCTCGGGGTGGGCGCGTGCGAGAAAGGCGAGCAGTGGCAGCGGATCCTGGCGCTGTTTGGCGAGATGTAAGGTCATGAGTGGACTAGCACCCCTACCTATGCCATGCGACGCCCAGATCTCTCGGGGTTGAGTTCCAGGGTGCGGGGCTATGGATGTGTGTCGTCGGATGGGCGCCTCCGCTTGAACGGAAACCCCGCTCGTGATCCGACAACTCGCACTCTCACCTGTAGCGCCTTCATCGTTGTGCCCCTCGCCATTCCTCCTCCCTCTGGGTCTGGGCGCGAGTCGTTCTTGCATCCTGGGAGTCGAGCAGCCCTCCGTGGCCGTCGTGTGCTCAGTGCTGCGCGTGCCGCGTGCCAGGGCGCCTGGGCACCGACACCTCCCCGCGCCCCAGTGGCACCCAGTCGGCCCAGCACTGCGCAGGCCGGTCCCCACGACAGCTTCGCACCCCGCCCATGCCGCCCCCAAGACGGCCCGACACGCGCTGCAGGCGTTTCTTGCCCCCAGGCAGCTCGAAGCCTTACGCCACGCCCTAGCAGGCTGCGGGGAGGCCCTCGGATGACTCCTCGGAGCCAACGGATGATCAATCGCGTCTTTTGACTTGTCTTCATTGGCCCAGGAGGGTCCACGGCAGCCTCATTACCTCCAGTCAGTCCCATAAGGCACCAAGAGGGGCCCGACAACCTCAACAAGAAGCAGACCCTATGCTGCTCCCAATCGGTATGCCAGGCATCCCCAGCATGGCTCGCAGAACGAGCCTGCAGGCGTGCCAAATAATGCGGTCGCCTGCGGTGCTCTCTCTTCGAGGCCCTGGACGTGTAGAGGGAGAACAGCACCAGCTTTGGTGCAGAGGACGTCTCGCGCCATACTAGAGCGCGCCTCAGCCAGATGCGTCTGCGTTGGACGGCGTGCATGCAATGGGAAGGAGGCAGCGAGCTCGCTGAATGCAGCGAAGCAGCCCAAGCGCCTCCCCTGGCGGAGGGGGAAGGAGGAGGAGGAGGAGGAGATGGATAAGGAGGAGGATGATGAGAAAGAGGAGGAGGGAACTATGTATGATGACGATGATGATGATGATGATGATGATGATGATGATGATGATGATGATGATGATGATGATGCTAATGATGATGATGCTAATGATGCTGATGATGCTGATGACGATGCTGATGATGATGATGGTGATGGTGATGATGATGACGATGACGATGATGATGATGATGATGATGATGATGATGATGATGATGATGATGATGATGGTGATGGTGATGGCGATGGTGATGGTGATGGTGATGGTGATGATGATGATGATTATGACGATGCTGATGCTGATGCTGGTGATGCTGATGATTGCTGCTGCTAATGGTAATGATGGTGATGCTGATTATGCTGACGATGATGATCGTGATGGTGCTGATGATAATTGTTATGATGATGACGATGATAATGATGATGATGATGCTGATGATGATGATGGTGATGCTGATGATGCTGATGCTGATGCTAATGATGATGCTGATGATGATGATGCTGCTGAGGATGATGCTGATGCTGCTGATGATGATAATGCTGATGATGATGATGCTGATGATGATGATTATGATTATGATGATGCTGAGGATGATAATGATGCAGATGATGATGATGCTGATGATGCTGATGATGCTGATGATGATAATGATGATGATGATGATGATGATGATGATGATGATGATGATGGTGATGATTATGATAGTGCTGATGATGCTGGTGATGTTGATGATGCTGATGATGATGATGCTGGTGATGATGATATGCTGATGGTGATGCTGCTGCTGATGATGATGATGACGATGCTGATGATGATGATGAGGAGGAGGAGGATGATGATGATGGTGATGATGGTGATGATGGTGATGATGACGATGATGGCGATGATGATGATGATGATGATGATGCTGATGATGATATTCTGATGGTGATGCTGCTGCTGCTGATGATGATGATGATGAAGATGCTGATGATGATGAGGAGGAGGAGGAGAAGGAAGAGGAGGAGAAGGAAGAGGAGGAGAGGAGGACCAGTGGAAGTCCAAGACGTAATAACGATGTTGCAATGCATCCTCCCTCCAAGCTCTCTTCGACAGGTGCTACAGTAATTTTCATTGCGGGAAGTGCCCCATCGAAGACAACCATCTTAGAATCCCCAATCGTGCCGAAACACCATTATTTGGACTTTTGCGCTGCAAGGCAACATGACCTATGCTACCTGGCAACCTCAAATCGTGCCAGAACGCCGTTCCCGAGACTACAACACATGGAATCAACGTGACGGCTGCGTCCTGACAGTCGTAAATTGCGCCAGAAAGCAATCCCTGGGACTTCACACATACAAACCTTTGAAACTGCTGCAACGTTTTAAGGAGAATGTGCGCGGCGCCAAGGCGAGAGGAACATTTTGAAAAGGAGCCGCCCTCCATCCGTGAAGCTGGGGCACACATTTAAGGCGAATGCGCGCGGCTTTAAGGCGAGAGCCACATTTTGAAAACCGCCCGCTCTCCATCAGTGAACTTGTTGCCGAATTTGAAACGAATGTGCGCGGCGTTCAAGCGAGAGCCACATTTTGAACATGGCCCGCCTCCATCCTTGAAGCTGCTGCAAACTTTTAAGACGAATGTGCGTGGCGCTAGGGCGGGAGACACATTTTGGAAGCCACCCGCGCTCCATTCTTAAAGCTGTTGCACAATGCTATGATGAATGTGCGCGACGCTAAGGCGAGAGCCGACATTTTGGAAACGACTCGCCCTCCATCCTTGAAGCTGTTGCAAATTTCAAGCCGCAGGGTCACAGATGGTGAGGAAGTCTCAGGCGAAGCCCCGAGCCCGGTCTACCGACACGTCTGGGGGGCGACAGGAAGAGTTATTCATCAGGAAGAGGGATGGAAGAGGGAAGAGGAGGAGCAGAGGAAAACAAAGATGGATGAATTATGCTGCGACGCACCCTCACGTCTCACGTCCATTCCCACTAGAAGACGCGCCCCCCTTGAAAGACAAGCACAGTTGGGTCGGTCTACCATTTTGGCGAGGGCCCCGCTTTGAAAAGAAACACCCTTGTATCTTAAATCAGGATCGCCAAAGATAATGATAATTCAGTTCAGCGAGGTGTCCAGCGAGATCTTTTCGAAGAAGGACCGCCCTCCCTCACCCGTGTGACTGTTGCACCAGCTTGCGCTCGTGGTCATGAATGAACTTCGAGGGAGTCTCACGCTACAGCTCCATTTTGAAAAGGAGCCGCCATGGATCCGTTCAGCACTACTCGCGTCGAAGTTCCGGGTCTTCGAGCTTAGCGACGTCTCAGGCGAGAGTTCCATGTTGTAGAAGAGTCGTTTTCCATCCTGTTAAATGTTGTATTCAAGACCGAACGCGCGCGCGCGGCGCTGTGGCGGGAGCCCCATTTGGGAAACGACCAGTGCTCCATCCTTGAAACTGTAGCAAGAGTTTGAGACGAATGTTCGCGGCGCTAACGCGAGAGCCCCACTTTGAAAATGAACCACTCTCCATCCGTTAAGCTAGCGCAAGCGTTTGAAACGAATGAGCGCGGCGCTAAGGCGAGATCACCATTTAGACCCCTCCATCCTTTCAATTGCTGCGAACTGAGACGAATGTTCGGAGCGCTAGGGTGAGAGCCACATTTTGGACACGCCCCCCCACAATCCACGAGACTGTTGCACATGTTTCAGTCGAGTCTACGCGGCGCTAAGGGGAGAGCTACATTTTGAAAAAGAGCCGCCCTCCATACGCGAAGTAGTTGCAAACTTGAAAGTAAGACGAATGTGCGCGACGCTACAACAAGAGGTACACATTTTCAAAACGGTCCCCTCCATCCGCCAAACTGTTGCAACATTTGAATCGAATGTGCGCGGTGCTGAGGCGAGAGCCACATTTTGAAAAGGAACCGCCATCCAACCGTGGAACTGTTGCAAACTTTGAAAATGAATGAGCGCGGCGCTAGGGCGAGAGGCCATTTTGACCTCCTCACCTTCAACCGTGAAGCTGTGGCAAACTTCTACGACGAATGTGCGCGGCGCTGAAGCGAGAGGCACATATTGAAAACGTACTGCCTCCTGTTGCAACTCTCGAGGATGTGCGTGGCGCTAAGGCGATTGCGATTGCCACAATTTGAAAAGACCTCCCTCCATCCATGTTGCTGTGGCAAACTTTTGCGACGAATGTGCGCGGCGCTAGGGCGAGAGCCACATTTTGACACCCCACTTCAACTGGGAAAATGCTGCAAACATTTCAAACGAATGTACGCGTCGTTGAGGCGTGAGCCACATTGTGAAAATCACCCCCTTCCACCCATGAAACTGTTGCAACTTTCAAGCTACAGGACCATACATGTTGAGGAAGTCTCGGACGAAACGCCCGGCCCGTCCCACCGACACGTCTGGGGGTTCGACAGGAAGGAGTTATTTGTAAAGGAAAGGGGTAAGGATGAGAAGGAGGAGGAGGAGGAGGAGGGGGAGGAGGAAGAGGGGGGAGCGGTAAGGAGATGCGGAGTGAGGAGGAGCAGGAGGAGAAGGAGGGGGAGGACGAGTATAGCTAAAAGACGAGCCAGGTGAAAGGAGGGCGATCGGCAGACGATTCCGATTCAGATCATGGGGATGTCTGCCCGAAGATACACTCTATTCGCGCGCTTTCCACTCGCATTCCCACTGCTGTTTACTCTCCCGTTGATGTATCCCCGTCTGCCTGCTGTGCAGTTTACCCACAGGTCCACTCTAGTCAGCTACACTGCTGCTTGCATCAGCGCGTGTGAGAAATACGAGTGCGGCAAAAGGCTGTATCGTTGCTCAGCGAGCTGTGCGAGACGAGTTTGCAGCTCGATGGCGACATGCGGCGACATCCCTAACGTTTGGGTCAACGCATGCGAGAAATCCAATTGTCTTGACCCTGGAGGTTGGTTGCGTCATGATCCGAGCAGGGGAGCTCTCCTGGTAGGCCCCGTCCCTGTGTACTGGCCGCAACATGGGTAGTATTTTCGCGCCTTCCGGAGCTCTCCAACGTCCAGGTGATCACGGCGTGCGAGAAGGCGAACTCGCGGCGTGCCTTTTGCGCTTTCCACTCGCGTGCGAGCAACCGCGCACGACCCACCAGCTGTACTGTGACGCTGGGGCGAGCGCTTGCGAGAAAGCTGTGCGTTTTTGATCTGGGGGGATGCAGCTTCCCCCCGGTCGGAGACAGGGAGCCCTCCCGAGGCGCGCGGTCGCAGTGTCGACGGCAGCACGAGAGGTTTTTGCGACCTTCTTGGATTTCCGTGGCGTTTGGGGACTTGAAACAACAGCAGCAGGCTCTGCCGCTGTTCAGCGCGGTGTGAGGCCCAATTGGCCCGGCTGCAGCGCTGGAAGCGGAGTGCGCGAGAAGGGCGAGCAGTGGCAGCGGGCCCTGGCGCGTCTCAACGAGATGTGGGAGGCGAAGTTGGATCCCGACGGTTGTTGTGCAATTCTGCGACACACCGCGTGTGAGAGCTGTGTGAGATTCGAGCACACCGCGTGTGAGGCTTGTGGGAGCTGCGAGCAGCGCGGCGAGCGTTCCAGACGGACCCTGCGAGCGTTCCACGAGGCGCCTTCGACGGCCCCAGGACTGTCGAAGCAACTCCCCGCCAAGACAGCCCGAAGGTGTTGCACAAAAGGCTTCCATAGGGCCCCAGATGCCCAAACCAGTTTCAGCGGTGTCCAACAGGGCTCCAAGACGCTCCCAATCTGGCCTCAGGGGGCGCTCCACAGGGGGCACCTCTGCATGTACCCGAGAGGGCTCAGGAAATGGCAAAGGCTTGACCGTCTCTGTTTTTCGTCTCTGAGGGGGTCTTATCACAGAGGGACTTCGCTGGGCCCCTCGAGTCTCCCAAGAGAGCATCCACGAGTGCCCCAGATGTCCCCAAGCGGCTCCCAAGACAGCCCGAGACGGCCTCACGAGATCCCACGAAGGCCCAGGAGGGCCCCAGGAGAGCCCAAACACGTGTCAAGAGGCCTGCAAGCCTCCCTTCTTCCCCGTCGTCGTCGTCGTCGTCGTCGTCGTCGTGGTCGTCGTCGTCGTCGTTGTTACCCTGCTGTTGTTGCTGCTGCAGCCGTTTCTTCCCTGCGTGCCGTTCGCGCCGGCGGCAAGGACCATTCGATCGCGTCGGCGTACGAGAAGGCCGGCTGGCGCGGCGCCCGTCGCAGCGCGGGGTGGTGGTGGGGCCCTCCCCGCCTCCCTCGCCTCCCCGCCTCCCCCGCGGCAGTCCTCCCATGACCCGGGACCTGGGGAAACTCAGTGCGGGCCACATCGAGGAGGCAGTTGCAATTTTGTCCAAGAGGTGCAGGGTGAAAATTATTGTGTCCTGCTGCAGGGGATCGGGATCCGGCAGTGCTGGGCAGGCGGGTGCGACACGATGCCAATAGTTCTGCGGGAGTGGCCTGGCCAATAGCGCTGGACTGTAATTTGGGCGCCTGCCCACACCGAGCAGCAGACACGCAGTGGCGGTCAGGTTGAGCATTGTTTGCAGATGCGGCTGTTATTTGCCTGGTGTCAGCAAAGGCTTTGAGGTCTTCGTGGAGGCCCTGAAGGAGATCGATGACCAGAGGGACGTTCACATGCAGATGGGCTCAAGAATTGCCGCGGCGACGAGGGCGTGGTGGGCCGACAAGGAGCTTCGGAAGCGAAACTTGAGCGACTCGGAACGTCTGCAGGGGTGCTACACGCACATCCAATCGATCATGATGCACGGCTGCGAGGGCTGGGCAGTCAATGCCACGATTGCGCAACGTCTTCACCAAGCAGAGGGCGGCATGCTACGACGCATAGCGGGACTTCGCGGCAGCCTGGCAAGCATGACGATGAAACGTTCGATGTGGACAACGACGATGATGGCAAGGACGCTGTTTGTTCGGGCAGGCCACAAACTGATCTTGGAGAAGATTTTTGGCGCCCTCCATGAAGCAACGCGAACCATGCAGGCCATGCGTGAGTCTGTCAGTGGCCCGGAAGCGGGCAACCATACGAGGGAGTTCCGGCACGATGCGGGCGGGCTGCTGCCCGAAGAAAGATGGCGAGACGCACGAGACAGTCGCCCGGCGGGGCGCCGCACGACCGTGCAGGCAGGCAGACGGTTCCAGGACGTGGTGCAGGAGGAGGAGCCTCTGCACCACAGTCGCGGTTGGTCTCAACGTACCCAGTGGGAGAACACCTTCGTGGACACGCTGGGCGCCGTGTGGCGCCAGGCAGCAGCAGGAGGCCCGAGTTGGGAGTCTTGCACTCGAGCTACCGCGGGACGAACTCGAAGGACGCAGCGTTCTGGAGGTCGTCGGCGGGTTCGAAGGTGGACATCGAGAAGGGCGCGCTGGGAGAGCATGGACCTTGTGGGTGCGCGTAGGCCTGGAGAGAGCCGTGCTCGTATTATGGACGTCGTTCTGGATGGCCCTTGGCGGCGCATCTTCGACCGCTGCTGCGTTAGCGGCTGGGCGAGTTTGTGTTCCCGAATCTGTGCCGTGGGCAAGCTTCTGTTCGAAGAGGTGACTTTTGAGTCTCTGGGTATCAGTGAAGCCAGTGAGGCATCAGTCAAATTGCGGACACGGCGCATCAGCTTGGCTGAGCATCTTCGTGGTGTTAGGTAGGCTGCTTTATCATCTAGTTCACTTTCCGTCTGCTGCTTCCCTCGCCAGGACTCGTCCACCAGGGTTTGAAATCCGAAAATCCGCTGGGGCCGGCCACGCTGCGGGCCGGCGTGGAGGACAAGTGCGGACCCCCCCCCTCTCCTCTTTCTCCTCCTCCTCTTTCTCCTCCTCCTCCTCCTCGTCCTGGAATTGTGTACTTCACCCTCCATTCTCCATCTTGAACAGTAATTCTTTCTCGTCGCGCCACCAGGCGTGTCGGCAAGGCGGGCCAGGTTGGGCAATTCGACTGACACGTCCTCTCCGCTTCGTGGTCCTGGAGCCTGACCTTGCCAGCGGCTGCACGGGTGCAGGGCGGGGCCATTCTCAGGAGCTGGCTCTCGCCTGAGAGCTGCGCGCACCGCCCTGAGAGTGCTCAGCATGTTCGCAGGCGGAGGGCGAGTGGCTCTGGCTCTGCGACTCGTTTTGGCGCCGCGCACGTTCGTCGTAAGAGCTCCCAGCAGTTACGCTGATGGAGGGCGGGCCCTTTTTAGCATGCAGTTCTCGCCATGGTGCCGCGCACGCTCGTCGGAAACGTGTCGAACTGCTGAACGGGCGGAGGCCGGTTCGTTTTCAAGATCAGGCTTTTGCCGCAAAGTTTCAGCGTTGTGCACCGCATGCGCGGGCGGAAGCCGAGTCCTTTCAAATCGGGACTCCCTCTGGGCACTTCTTGAGATACTACGTCCCATGCTTGTTCGGACATGTCTTGGACCTAGAAGCTTGGGATCGGAGGAGGGGGAGCAGGAGGAGGAGGAGGAGGAGGATGACGAGGAGGATGACGAGGACGAGGACGAGGAGGAGGGCCGTTCTTCTTCACATAATGGGCTGCCCCTGGAATGAGAGGCCACTTGGGGCGCTCGTCTTTCACAGGGGCGCTGTTTCTGGGGAGCGCAGGGATAATTTCTTTCAGCACAGGATGCAAGAAGAAAAGTGACTTGGGACGGAAGGATGTATTCCAGCATCGTTAATGCATCCTGGGTTAACTCCTGGCCCCCCTCCCGTTCTACCTCTCTTCCTTGGACGCAGTCCCTCGTCGCCCTCCCAGACGCGTCGGTAGGGTACGCCTGGCGTTGCGCTGCTGGGTTTTCGTCACTTGAGATTGTGGAGTTTGGTATTTCCCAACAGTTTCACGGCTGAGGAGCGGGTCGTGTTCAAAGTTTGGTTCTTGCCAGAGTACCGAGTACATTCGCCGTACAAGTGCCACCGCAGGAGGATGGGTTGCTTTCAATATGTGGGCTCGCTTTGACGCAGCGCGCACTCGGCATAACAGCTGTACAGCAGCTACACGGGTGGTATGTAGGTCGTTTTAAGAATTTCGTTCTCGCTTCATTGCTGCGCACCGCTCACATTCGTCGTACAAGTAATCAGCAGATGTGCAAATGGAGGGCGGACAGTTTCTTTAAGGTGGCTCTCGCTTCAGCGCCGCGTGCATTTCTGGACGGTTGCAGAATTTATTGACGCTTCGCGCATCCCTGCCAGTCCATCCAGAAGCGGTGCCCAGACCACTTGTCTGTCTTGATCAGGGAAGTGTATGAGAGAGCATCGGAACAAAGAGGAGGGCAACCGCCACACCGAAACACGTTAAAGGGGGCGGCGTACATTACCTCGCCCCATCGGATGCCGACGAATTCTCTCTTGGACTCTTGGGGTCCTTTTGGGCCGCTCTTGGGGCACTCTTGGGGGCTCTTATGGACAGTCTTGGAGCCCTCTCCTGGGGCCCTCTTGGGCGATATTGGATGCGCCTGGAAGCTTCAAATACCAATCGCAAGCGAAACGACGAGAATGCCAAAGTCATTGCTTTTCCTTGATGTTCGTATTTTTTGTTTGTCGTGCGCGTCTTTCGTAGGCTCTGTAGCCACTTGGAGCCGCCTTAGGGCTGTCTTGTGGCCTCTTGGAAGCATGGTGGAGGCTATGTTGAGTCATCTTTGGCTATCCTGCGCGATCTCGGAGGCCCGTCCATCTTGGCCCACCCGCCTCCCAATGATGTCACAGATATGCGAACCTCTATCAACAACCAACGGGTTTTCAAGGGTTTGGGCTTTGATCGAAAGGGAGCGGCATATATTACGCCCCCCCACATTACGCCCCCCCCCCCCGTCGGGGGACAAACCATGACTTCACGGGGCGCTCTTGTGGCGCTCTTGGGCGTCCTTGGGGCCGTCTTTGGCTTTGGGCCTTCTTGGGCTCCTCTTCGGGCTCTCTTGGGAGACACTGGAGCCATCCTGTGGCTTCAAAAGCTAGCCAGAAACGGAACGGCGAGAATGCACAGCGCATTGCTTGATTTTCTTAAGATGTTGGAAGCGTTTGGGCAGGGTTTTGACCTCTCGAAGCCGTCCTTTGGAGGCTCCGTGGCCACCTGGAGACGTCTTGGATCGGTGTTCGGTCCGCCTGGAGGCATGTTGGAGGCTTCCTGAGCTATCCTGGGCTGCTTTTGGCGATCCTGGAAGCCACCTTGGGCTGTCTGGGGCCATCTTGGAGCCATCTTGGGCCATCTTGCACGCTATGACCGCCTGCGCCGAGCGAGTATGTGAGTGAGTGAACAGCTGGCTGGCTGGCTGGCTGGCTTGTCGACTGAGAAGCGTCGATCCTGCTTCCACCTCCTTCCTGCCTCCCACCTCCAACCTCTCCCTTCCTCCTACCCTCTCACCGTTTTGCTTGAGGGTGGGATGACATTCTTCAGGGCGAACTAGAATATCTTAAAGGTGAAGTAGACACTACGCAAAAACCTCACGTAAAAGCACTAGGCAAAAGCACTACGCAAAAAAGCACGACGTAAAACAGAACGTGAACCTCCCCCGGGCGCTCCCGCGGCGCTCCAGGGCGCTCCCGCGGCGCTCCCGGCTGTGCTCCCCAGGGCGTTCCAGCGGGCTTCTTCTTCTTCTTCTTCTTCTTCTTCTCTGCGTCGTGCTCTCTGCGCAGTGTCTCCGAGCAGCAGGTGCCGACGCCAGGGCGCTCCCGAGGCGCCCCGGCGGCCCGCTGCCGGCGGACCGCTGGCAGTCGCTGGCGGGCTCCCGCGCCCCGCCCGCCGGGGTGCCGTCTCCTCGCGCGCTGCCCGGGCTCTGCTGCCGCGTCTGCCCCGCCACGGCGGCGGTCCTCGCCGCGTCGGCGGCCGGTTCGGCTCCTGCGCTCGCGGCCGCCCCGGGCGGGGGTGGCCGTGCGGCCATGCGGCCGCCTCGGCTCGCGCGCGCACGCCGACCCGCGCGCCACGCCTGTTCAGTTCAGTGCCCCCGCGCGCCTCCTCAGGGCTCCTCCTCCTCCTCCTCCTCCTCCTACTCCTTGACTCTTGAGGCTGCTCGAGGCTCGCGACGAGTCTCGCAAGCGAGAGGACCCCGTCTCTTGCTGGCGCGCGCCACGCCTGTTGAGTTCAGTGCCCGCGTGCGCCCACGCCCGCGACTGGCTTGCCTATAGGCCCACCAAAGAGTGTTCCAAGAACCCTTTGTGGTCTGCGCGAAATGTTCTTAGAACCTTTCTGGCTGGGGCTGTCTGATTCTAACACCTCGGCTTGATATTCTAAGAACCTTGTTTTCGTTCTCAGAACACTTTTGGGTTCCAAGATCATTGCGGGGTAGGCCTATATTAATGCCGGGACGGTCTGTCCCTGCTCAACGTTCAGTGCCCGCGCGCTTGTTCAGTGCCCGCGCGCGCCCACGCCCGCAACTTCCCTCGTCGCGCCGGAGCGCCGCCGCAGCGGCGGTGGAGACGTCTCCCGCGGCGGTGGCCCAGGTCGCAGGCGGTGGATGGCGGTGGCAGACGGGAGCCCGCTGCCGGGGCGTGCGTGCCCATCGCTACAGCCTGGCCAGGGTGCAGGCCGCCGTCGAGGGGCGCGCGGGCGCGAGCAGCCTCGGCCTCGGGCAGCCGAGCGCCGTCGTCACAGCCTTGGAGTTTGCTCAAGGCGCCCTCGAGCCAGAGAGCCACGAGACCTCCGACAGGCCCGAGGTGGGTTTCAGCATGCTGGTCGGCTCGCTGGTTGGACTCCTCAGAGGACGCGCGCGCACCGCGCAGCGAGCGCATCGCGCGCACATCGCACGGCCAGTGCTTCTGCTAAGGACCCAAATCCGATGCAAATAACGCATTGTTAACATTTCGCCTGCGGCCGGCACCTTTGGATTCCAATCGAATCATAATTCCAATAGGAAGAAGTCTAATAGGATTCAAATAGTATTCCAACTGGATTCGGACATGAAGGATTCCAGCCGGATTCCATTTGGATTATCATAGGATTCCAACGGGGTTCCATTAGGGTTCTAATATGAAGAGTCCAATGGGATTCCAATTGGATCTTCTTAGGATTCCAATAGGATTCAGATGTTAGGGTCCAATAGAAATCCGATCGGATCCCAATACGTAGAACCCCAATAAGATTGAGGTCTGATTTCCATCGGCCAATTGGAGGGCAGCACCAAATCCAAACCCAAACCCAAACTTGAACCCACACCCACACCCAAACATTTCTGGCCATGAGTCAACAGTGCCCGTATTAGAAATGATAGAAGGAGATGGAGGGGGCGAAAGAGATTGATGATGGCCTTATTTTCGAGTGCGTGTGATGCCATATGTGTTCGATGGTTTCGGATGCGCTGGAGATTTCTGAAAGTGCGAACTATGATGACGCGGAGGAAAGACACAATGATGAGGAGGAGGGGGATGATTTGGATGATGCTGATGATGATGATGATGACGATGACAATGACGACGACGACGACGACGACGACGGTGGTGATAA